TATATATATATATATACTTTCTGACAACTACAAGGATCATAGGAAGGTGTGTGAAGAAGAAGAGGAAAAAATAGAGAATGAAACAAAACGAGACATGCTTTCATGTAACTGAAAGACGACATTGACAGAATCATATTAATGCTGCGCTGACTGTATAATGAAGCGCTGCTGTCAGGGAAAATTACCTTTGGAAAAAGATCCTACCGGTCACAAAAAGACACATCAACACCCATAGAAAATGTGGAATGTAATTACTCTATCAATATGTGTTGCTGACAGATGGTTAAAATGCCAAATTGTACAAAATTAGAATAATAAAATCAGTTTGAAGCTATGTGCCAACAGAACATTTAGATGGATGGATGGATGGATATATTTATTGATTTCACAAAGGAAATTATTAAATATCTAAATTTCAGTCGCAAGGTGATGAGGTTTATTTATCCAGAAGAGCATCTGCTTACCCTTCTATGCCTGCAAGCTTTTAAACTGCTGATTTTTCTTTTGCCATTTGCACTCATGTGGACTTGATTTGTTTCGTACAATACAAAGTCATAACCCTGCTAAATTTTAAATGAGCTGCATTTTTTTTTTTGTCTTGCATGAGAGAAGTATCACTGCAGGCTAAATAATAATGTATGGACACTTAATAAGCTTCTTTCCATTACATGATGTTATTTGCACTCGCTGGGTGGTTTACTACCAGAACTGATTTTGTAGCAGTCGTTGGCATTAGAATGCATCATCCCAGCTGAGTTCACATTAATGAGAAAATCGTGCATGCTGCATATTTAAGTAAGCTAGAGCAATTACAGAGTGTTTATTTGAAAAAGCAATAGAAAAAACAATGTTTTAAATTGCATAATATAGTAACTCAACAAATTAAAGTGCAAACATAGACTCCCTGGTGTTGTCTTACTGTCTGCTCATATACATGTGCAAAAGTCTGAAGCCACAGCTGGTTTTTAAAAATGGAAAATTGGTGCAGCAATTTACATATAAACATAGGAAATACAGCATATTTTTGTAAAATTCAACTGAGCTTTAGAGATGGCTGTAGATACTCATTGTTAAATGTCTCTTCTGATATCATTCATACAATATGAACTACAAACTAGAGATTTTGATTTGTCACACTATAAGCTATTGTCACTGATTTTTGTGTAATTTCACATACCCCAGCCTTTTCTCCCTGTTTCCCTTCCCTTCACACTTCCACTGAGACTGAGGCCTCAGTGAAGAGTAGATGGATCAGCTGAAGGGCCAGATGTGTCCTGTGTCAGATCTTTAAAGGATTGTTTTCCTATTTCTTAAGGACATGACTGTCAGATACTGCTCATCTGCTGTAGTTTTTTTAGACCTGCCACTTATTCTTTTGTCCTCCAGTTGTTCAGTTTTAAGGACACACTGCACATCATGTAGATTCATAGATTCAACAAAAGAAATAGAAACAAATTTTATGTTTTTGTGGCAGACTGCTAGTAGGAACGTGATTTATAATTGGTTCCATTGTTAGCTGTCTGGTTTCTATATACATAACACTGGTCCATCCCTGGATTTTGTTGTGTTTTTGTGCTTAAATGATTCATAGGTTAGTGTTAAGTGTCGTCCTGAAGAGTGATGTAGTGAGGACCTAAAGGCAAAGATGGAAAGAGAGAAAGCACAAACAAAAAGCGAACTGTTTAGGTAGACTGGTAAGTTCATACCAATCTGAAACAAAAAAAAATAAAACAAACAACCAACATAAATAGAAATTATGAGGAAAAAATTACCAAACACAAGATGTAAGATTCATAAAATAAATACCAAACCACAGGCATAAAAACCTCATGTTCATGGCAGTTTAACATACAAACACAAATAACATTCCTCTAAAAATGGTCAAGCGCTAGGACTTGACTGAAAATGGGTGAAAAAACAGCCAATCTACATAGGCAATCTTTGAAAAAGCTTTAGAAATCCTGAGAACTACTTCTCAAAACCAGCAAAGTATAAAGAAATCCAAGACTTTTGCACACTATTGTACAATATGCACATTGACAAACTGCTTCCTGTGTGTGTTCTTCAGTTACGTCCAGGTGAAGCGTTCACTGTGTACCACACCAGTCCTACACTGTCCAGTCTGTCCAAACCAGTGGTGCTGTGGACTCAGCAGGATGTCTGCAAGTGGCTTAAAAAACACTGTCCACACAACTACCTGACCTATGTAGAGGCCTTCTCCCACCACGCCATCACAGGTACAGTGCACAACATGTGAATATGTAGCATCAGTTGTTACAGAACTTTATGCTGACTGGGATTGTTGTCTTTTATTTGCAGATAATGTCAATCACTATGCCTGCTAATAGTGTAAAATGCACAAAATCTAGTCTTCTAGAGGGTGCTGTTTGTGTTAAACTTCTCATTGACCTCTGTTCCGTTCAATAAGCATAGTAGTGATGCTCATTTGGACTAAGGCATTGCAAACCAGAACCATAAAAGGCTTAGTAAATCTCACACAAAGTTTTATTTTTAGGTTTGTGGTTCCACAGCTTAGCTTTCTCAACTGGAAACAGGTTTACACCCAAATCTCTGCAAAGGAGATTTAAAAGGCATTCATGTGAGGTAACGAAAGGAGTGCAGCCTATTTTTGCAGAAGAAAGGCAAATCTGTGGAAAAAGTGCTGTGTTATCATGTTTGAGTTCAAACAACACGCTCTCACACATTTATTTGTTAGTAAGCCCACACAAATGCATGCGAGTGCTTAGATACACAAACCAAGGTAGTAACAGACATATGAGCATGTACGTGTTGACACATCCTCGTCCTTGACAGACCAGACGGTAGAGCAGTTTCTTTTGCAGTGTCTCATAGAGAACAGATTGCTGGTCTATGCTGCAGGGTCAGCCACCACTCACTTACATTTCCATACACACACACACACACAGGCACGTACAGTGCATTGCATACACAGGCTCCAGGGTTAACAATGCTGCCACCATCATAGCTGCAGCAGCTCTGATCTGATCATTTCTATTTATGTATTCTCTAACAGAGAGCGTGAGATAGAGGGTTCAGCTCAATTATCCCTATGTATTCACTTGCAGATGTCCAGCTGGATTTTATTTTGGCTCCGTTATTAGCTGATGTATTTTTCTTGTGCAAATGAGAGTTGAATATGTGTTTGTGTTGTGGATGCATTTGGTCAGCGTAAAAAATAACCTCGGAAAAGACTACATACAAATTCTCTGCCTTTTTTGAAGGATGCTGATTCTCATCAGCAGCCATGAAATGGATTCTGTGTTTGTAAAGGAAAATATTTCTCTGAGCTGCTCTCAGCCACTGGAAAAAGCTACCTGAGAAAAATCAGTGTAGCTTTCATAGTTTCTCCTGCAGTTTGAGTTAATGTGCATTTATCAGCACGTTTAATCTGTTTCTACTGTTTCTAGCAATAGTGAGTACACAGAATTTTGTCAGTTTTCTATATAATCTATATTCTGTAGACTACATGTGCAATTTGATTACCACGTAGTAATGAGAGTCAAACTTACGATCCCATTAATGAACAGTTTCAGGAACAGTTTGAATTGAGTACTAGAGCAGTTACAGGACAACAATAAATGCTAAAATGTGCTATAGATATGTAGATAAGCTAATGCTAGCACTAGCTAGCTTGAATAGCTTTTTTGGAGAAAATAGTGGTTAGAGACCTCAGCAGAATCCAAATTATTGTGATGGTGTGCAATTAACTTTAAATATTTTTGCCTTTAAAACTGCTGTTTCAAAGGCAGGGACCATGTCTGCAACTGCTGGCAGTCAACTGACATCTTCAAAGCAGATTTAGTGCATCAAGACAGCAATAAAATGGTATTAAGATGGAATCAGTCTGCTATCAGTTTACATTTAAATTGGAAATTACATGCAATCTGTTTGTGATAATGCTTTGATTGGCTGTGATAAATGACCAAAAACTGTGGTGTCTATTACAGAAATTCACATTAATTGCTTAGTCCAGCCAGAACCTCCCATATATAAAACACAAAAATAAAGACTTTCCCCCACAAATAGTGATATAGTTGCTACAGTACAGCAATTTAGCTGCAAAATAACATAGGCAACCTTGCTTTCATGTATGAATAACACCCGTCAACCATTGCGGTAAGTCTCCTATTGCAAAGAGAAGCAGTGCAAACAAGTTGCACTTATAGGAGCAAGCTGACTCTGATTGATTGCAATGTGTTGGTAAATTAGACAGCAATTATTTGCAAAGCTCTGCCAATCTGTGTGGGAGTGATTATAGTTAGTCTGAGCCAGACTTTTGTTTGGAGTTTGCCTCTCTCCAGGTGACCTCTGCAATCACCTTGCAATTGAAAGTGGTCGCCCTGAGCCTGAGGGTGTTCCATGTTAAAATATAGGTGCGTGGTGGGGTACTTCCAATCAATTGTCGAATGCAAAAAATATCAATTTTCATGGTCACAAGGAGGCTGTAGTCATATTTTTTACTCTAGTGTGCCTGAGCCATTAATAATGTGGACATGTAGATACCAAAAATGCTGAACAGTAGCCTACATCTGAATGTTAAATAAGCCCTTGATGCACGGAATAGCCACACTCTAGAGCACACACTACTTAATTATCTGATTTACTCTTAATGGGAGTATAATTTGCAACGTGAATACTATTCTACATTCAATTAGAATAAAAACTCCAATCTGAAAACATAAACTTTGCAAAATATTTATCAAGATCATAAATCAAATGAGAAGTGGAGTCATTTTCTCAAAGTCTTCCGTACAGCAATTTTCAGCCCCTGCAGGACAGTAGAAATACTACACGTTTAAGTCAAGTCCTTCATGACTTAAATAGCTTCATCAAGCAGCAGCTATACTATACTGCATGCTGCACTGCAAGTTAGAACTATGCTACAGTTCATATTAGACTAAAATAACCTCAACTCTTTTGCAAAATGAGAGGAAAACGGGGCAAATAAAACTCAAACAAGCAAAGTGTGAGGGAAAGCAAATTCCTTACTTAATGCTTTTAGAATTGATCATGTTACATGATGTCTGTTTAAGTCAAGGATCTGAATACTTCCTCCATCAGACAGCTGTTGTTTGCAGAAGTAAATAATAGATGTAATTACACTCGATTCTAGCAGATGTGCATGTGAGTTAGTGACAGAAAGCCATTTTTGCATTGCATTAAAAAGTTGTGATGATAGATGAGATGAGTCAGACTGAGTCACAGATGAGTCACACATTCAGACCAGTTCTTTCAGTTTTGTGCACTATGTCTCCTCAACATTTTGATAAGTATTTCATATGTACTGTACAATAGGCCAAGAGGTGTGAAGCCAATAAATTGGCACTTGCTATCCAAATCTCATGTACTGTTACTTTCTCATAACATGGCTGTATACTTCACAGACTGCATTTCCAGACTGAAGTTTGACCACACAGAAAGCTAGACCACCTCTATATGTGGTTTTAACTAGATTGACCCTGAAGTTGCTCCTATATTTATTTCTTATGTTAATATTCTTGGTATAATATTTTATACCAAGTATGATTAACAGATATATTCAATAAATTAGTAATATAGACAGACCACAAAGTATGTAGTCAATAAAGCAAAAAGTTAAATAGTTTAAGTTGGGTCTCAGGGGTTGCATGAACTGAGTTGGTCAGTTTGATCACAGATTTAAACTAAAGGTTGCTCTTTTATAAGGAAGCCCCCCCCCCCTATGCACACACACCTTGGATTGCTGTTCAGACTGTTTTAAGAGTCATTATTGTCCCAGCCAAGGCAGAACTGCTTCCCATTTGCCCAGAGACATTGTTAATAAGCAATTTATTTTGAAGCCAAATTGAGAGAGGCGATCTCTATTGAAACAGCTTTTGTTTTTGTGTCTCTTTTCTGCCTTTGACAGCATACTTTCCCTATCTGCAGGCAATTATTAGGAGCTGTATTAAGTCTGTCTGAGGGGAATTGATTTGAGCTCCATTCATCTGCTTTGTCTCATTTGTACACAAGCACACACAGACATTCACAGAGCAAGGGCAGTAGTTTTTTTTTTTCTAGGACACACTGGTCCTGCTTTTGGCAAGCGCACATGAGAGGGCTTTTGTGGGGATTGGGTAAAGAGGCCGACGAATGT